TATTTATTTATTTATTACAGGTATTTATATTGCTCCATCAATTTCTGCAACACTTTACATACAGTATATTGTACATTCACATCAGCCCCTAACCCTCAAGGAGCGTAAAATTTAGGGGCCCTAACTCACATTTATACATATTAGATCCAATTTAGACAGGAGTCAATTAACCTGTCAGCATGTCTTTGGAGTGTGGGAGGAAACTCGAGTACCCGGAGGAAACCCATGCAGGCACGGGGAGAACATGCAAACTTCAGGCAGGTAGTTTCGTGGTTGGGATTCGAATTGATGACCCTAGTACTGCTAGGCAGGAGTGCTAACCACTTAGCCACTGTGCTGCCCAAGTGCTTACCTATTTGTAGGAGAAGGACAAGATTGGGTAAATCTTTCAGTGTACTGCTTATGTGCAGTTACCAATTCAAGGAGTCCCATATAAGATGCCAAATCTTCTTCACTTGTTGAGTTAATTTCCGCTTTAAAGTGGCCCTAAAGTCTAGGTGGTTTTTTTTTTTTGTTTTTTTGTTTTTTAGGTGCAGTTAGTGCATTATTGTAAAAAAACACCTCATTACTCGTTCTTCTCCCCTTCACCAAAATGTTAATGACATTTGCAAATACAACCTTTCCTTTTTCATTATGTGCCCATTTTTGACCCAGTGATGTCATCACTGGGTCTCTGCTTTTCTGTGCAAAGCAAATGGATTATGGCAGGTGGGAGGGCCTGTCAGGGTTCTGTTCATAGCTTCCTGAATAAGCCGTCATGCACAAGGGGCATTTTGATAACGTTGGGAACGTTAGCTGTGTGAAGTCACATTAACATCATGAGTTTTTCAGCTTTTTTTTAGCGTGTTTGCATTAGCGTTTAGTGGCAGTTTTCCACTTTTAGTGGCGTTTTTCCATATATGCAATTTTTAGCATTTTTTGAAATCAGAAAAAAATCCTGAAATGCTGCGTTTTGCCAAGTTTTTCAGCATTAGAACATTTTTACAGTTAAAAAACTCCTCTAGAAACCCACTAGTCCTGGGTTTTTTTCCAACCTAAAAATGTCCCTGCCAAAAAACATTGATTACAGTCTATGTGTGCAACGTCCAGTGTGCATGAGGACTAAATCACAGCACCCAGCCCCAGTACTCCTCTTAAGAGCCCTTAGCCCCAATGCAAGCAGTGGGCTGGCTCTTAGGAGGAGATATCCAAATATTAAAATGCCTTGATGGGTGGATGTCAGTCTGCAGGAGTGGTTGTTCCTAGGAATACTGCGTTTGCATACATACCACCCTAGGTAACGCCGACATGTGATGCCAAGTTTCCATGATTGAAATAACCAAAATCCAGTGAATGAAATTGGTGGGCCAGAGACTGTATGAATAGAGAGGAAAGAGCTAAATGATGCTGGATGTCCTCCAGCCAGGAATAAGATGGCCTCTATCTACCTTGCTGCAGCTTCTAATGCACATTGTGAGAAACTCAGTGTGCAGTGAATCAGTTTAATGCAGTTTAAAGCCCAACTTTAGAACTGTAGAGTTGTACCAGTTCATCTCCTGTACTGAAACGGCTTAAACAGCATTCTCATACCTATATCAACTCCCTAAGCCTCCCAGTGTTCTAATATGTTATTATTTATTATTTATTTCAGGTACTTATATAGCGCCGTCAATTTACACAGCACTTTACATATATAATGTACATTCACATCAGTCCCTAACCCTCAAGGGATGTACAATCTAAGGTCCCTAACTTACATTCATACATACACATACTAGGGCCAATTTAGACAGGAGCCAATTCACCTACCAGCATGTCTTTGGAGTAATATGTAGATTTCAACACTTCCCCTCCCCACATCTTCTAATGGCAACGGTCACCATGAATCGCAGCCAGTGGGAAAGCCAGCCAGCTGTCATTCCTGTATGACCTGGCATATAAAGCACCCCAGAATTTGGGGGGTCCTCAGGTGATTGATGGTAGGTGCAGCACCACCAGGTGGCTGATTTTGACTGATGCAGTCAGTTAAGTAGGTTTAAAGATGTAGGTATTCTTATGCAAGATCATTTTCAAATCGGCAAATTGCATTTTTTTTTCTTTTATTCATCTGATTATACACGCTAAAGCTGGCCAAACGTGTGTAGATTTTCCGATGAGAATATTCATAAGAAAAGTCGTACGAAAATTCTTTGAACCTCTTTGAATGGACTAATGTTGTTCGAAAATTGTCTTTTGCTTTAACCACTTGCTGATCGCTGATAGCCGAATGACGGCTTCACTGCGGCTGGCCAGTTCTGGGAGGGCATCATATGACGTCCTCCCAGAACGCGCTCTCCTGCGCGCTTCCGGTGATCTCTGTGATCGCTGTGTCCTATGGACACAGCTGATCACATGATGTGATAAAAGGCCAATCAGAGCGGCCTTTTACCATGTGATCAGCCATGTCCAATGACACGCTGATCACCGGGAAATGCAATTGCCGGTTATCAGCTGCACTTTCCTCATGCTCTCACAGCATCAGGAAAGTCCTGCCGAGAACCAGCAGTTGTCAGAGGAGGGATCAGCACTGATCATCAGGGCACTGATCGGTGCCCAGCAGTGCAACCCACCGGTGCTGCCCACAAGTGCCACCTACCAGTGCTGCCCACAAGTGCCCATTAGTGACACCCACCTGTGCCCATCAGTGCCGCCTATCAGTGCCGCCTGTCAGTGCAGCCTCATCAACGCACATCAGTGAAGGAGAAAAATTACCTGTTTGCAAAATTTTATAATAGGAACAAATAAAAACTTTTTTTCCCATTTTTTGCCCTTTTTTTTGTTTATAGCGCAAAAAATAAAACGCCCAATGGCAAGTAAATACCACCAAAAGAAAGCCCTATTTGTGTGGAAAAAAATGATAATTTTATATGGGTACAATGTTGCATGACCGCGCAATTGTCATTCAAAGTGCAACAGTGCTGAAAGCTGAAAATTGGCCTGGTCAGGAAGGGGGTATAAGTGCCCGGTAGGCAAGTGGTTAAACATTCAATTTTAAAATGAATGTAATTTCTAAACGATAACCACAGTTACTGTTACTGCTGTTTAAGATCACGATTAGAAAATCAAACAAATATTCTTGAAATTAAAATTCTCAAATGAAAATCTATACGTGTATGGCCAGCTTTAGACTCTCAATCCAGTCTGCCGAGTCACGCTATTCATGATTGCTTGGATTTATTGGACTGATTCTCTGCAGAGCACGCAGATCTCCCGCACATATTCGTGTCTTGTTGTTGGACAAAAGGAACAATTTGCAAAATGCAGATTCTTTTGATGAAGAAAAAAAGAAACAATGTGATTGTTGATTAACCATTCCAAGCGATGGAAAATCTCATTGGTAGCAGCACACATTTATTTATTTCAGGTACTTATATAGCGCTGTCAATTTACGCAGCGCTTTACATATATATTGTACATTCACATCAGTCCTTAACCCTCAAGGGGCGTACAATCTAAGGTCCCTAACTCACATTCATACATACACATACTAGGGACAATTTAGACAGGATCCAATGAACCTACCAGCATGCCTTTGGAGTGTGGGAGAAAACCGGAGTACCTGGAGGAAACCCACGCAGGCACAGGGAGAACATGCAAACTCCAGACAGGTGGTGGTGGTTGGAATTTGAACCGACGACCCCAGTACTGCCAGGCGGAAGTGCTAACCATTTAGCCGCTGTGCTTTTTAATGACATTATCAGATGAGTATAAATCCGAGGTGTTGGCCAGAACACCAAATTATGGGGGAAATTTATCTATACTGGACCTGACAGTATCTGGAGCAGCTGTGCATATCAACCAATCTGCTTCTATCTTCAGCTTGTTCAGTTAAGATTTGAAAATGAAAGACAGAAGCTGATTGGTTGCTATGCACAGCTGCTCGAGTTTTGATGAATTTCCCCTCTAATTTTTTTTTCTGTATGGTAAAAATGTGATGATCGTGTCTGATTGGTTGCTGAAGGCAGATGCACTACTTTCTGCAATGACGGAAGGCACCGATTTAGAATATTGGAAGATTGGTACATATTTTGTGGTTGTGCACATGAACATTCACATTGGGGGGTTATTAATGGTTAATAGTTTCTGCTGTGTCTTTGTGTCCCTGTATCTGACCTCTGATGTGATGTAATCTGCACATCTGTTATTGTCTCATTACTAAGTATTCCCCAGAACATTTCCACCCTTAATCGGGACCTCCGCCCACACTCCTCACCCTGCTATCTGCGCACACAGCGTCCACGCCGAAGAGCTGACTATCCAAAGATTGTTATTCTGCTGTGATCAATTTACACTTCAACTTCCAGCTTTGTAATGAGCTAATACTCTCTGCCCTCCCCCCTCCAAATCCTCCTTTCACTGGCCCCATCACAAGAATGTGCACATGTGCTTCAGTCTGAGCATCTTCTGTATTAAAGTGTTACTAAACCCACAACAGTACAATCAGTCTATATGCAGTACAGCATGCTTGTTATACTCACTGTGGAACCTAAGGGGTTAATCCTCTGTATGGTGTAAAAAGGATGTTTGATCCTGACTTCTATGATCCTCCTCTTCTTCCAGTGTCCCCCCTTAGCTCCTGATAAGACATATTATGGGGAGTCACTCTGCACATGCTCAGCTTGGTGTGTGTTGCTAGAGACGTTTTTTTTTTCTTGGGAGAGTGCATGTGATCAGCACAGGGCCAATCAGCGCTGTCCAGACAGAGGGTCAGGGGTCTTGCAGCCTTATAGAGCAAAATGAAAACTCCTACAAGCTGTAACCAGTGCTCAGCTGGACACTGATAGAAGTCACATAACTGCTGATGAGAAAAGTTATTTATCAGTTTATATTTACTAAAATTATTGCATTTCAATGTTGTGTGTACTGTGGGAGACCAGATATAGTGAATGCAGGGTCCGAGGAGAGCAGATATAGTGAATGCAGGGTCCGGGGAGAGCAGATATAGTGAATGCAGAGTGCGGGGAAACCGGATATAGTGACTGCAGGGTCCTGGGAGATCAGATATAGTGAATGCAGGGTCTGGGGAGACCGGATATAGTGAATGCAGAGTGCGGGAAAACCGGATATAGTGAATGCAAGGTCCTGGGAGATCAGATATAGTGAATGCAGGGTCCGGGGAGAGCAGATATAGTGAATGCAGAGTGCGGGGAAACCGGATATAGTGACTGCAGGGTCCTGGGAGATCAGATATAGTGAATGCAGGGTCCGGGGAGAGCAGATATAGTGAATGCAGGGTCCGGGGAGAGCAGATATAGTGAATGCAGGGTCCGGGGAGAGCAGATATAGTGAATGCAGAGTGCGGGGAAACCGGATATAGTGACTGCAGGGTCCTGGGAGATCAGATATAGTGAATGCAGGGTCTGGGGAGACCGGATATAGTGAATGCAGAGTGCGGGAAAACCGGATATAGTGAATGCAAGGTCCTGGGAGATCAGATATAGTGAATGCAGGGTCCGGGGAGAGCAGATATAGTGAATGCAGAGTGCGGGGAAACCGGATATAGTGACTGCAGGGTCCTGGGAGATCAGATATAGTGAATGCAGGGTCTGGGGAGACCGGATATAGTGAATGCAGAGTGCGGGAAAACCGGATATAGTGAATGCAAGGTCCTGGGAGATCAGATATAGTGAATGCAGGGTCCGGGGAGACCAGATATAGTGAATGCAAGGTCCAGGGAGACCGGATATAATGAATGCAGGGTCCAGGGAGACCGGATATAATGAATGCAGGGTCCTGGGAGATCAGATATAGTGAATGCAGGGTCCCTGGAGACCAGATATAGTGAATGCAGGGTCCGGAGAGACCAGATATAGTGAATGCAGGGTCCGGGGAGACCAGATATAGTGAATGCAGGGTCCGGGGAGACCACATATAGTGAATGCAGGGTTCGGGGAGACCACATATAGTGAACACAGGGTCCGGGGAGATCAGATATAGTGAATGCAGGGTCCGTGGAGACCGGATATAGTGAATGCAGGGTCCGGGGAGAGCAGATACAGTGAATGCAGGGTCCGGGGAGAGCAGATACAGTGAATGCAGGGTCCGGGGAGAGCAGATATAGTGAATGCGGGGTCTGGGGAGACCAGATATAGTGAATGCGGGGTCCGGGGAGAGCAGATATAGTGAATGCGGGGTCCGGGGAGACCTGATACAGTGAATGCGGGGTCCGGGAGACCTGATATAGTGAATGCGGGGTCCTGGGAGACCAGATATAGTGAATGCAGGGTCCGGGGAGACCAGATATAGTGAATGCAGGGTCCGGGGAGACCAGATATAGTGAATGCAGGGTCCGGGGAGTCCAGATATAGTGAATGCAGGGTCTGGGGAGACCAGATATAGTGAATGCAGGGTCCGTGGAGATCAGATATAGTGAATGCAGGGTCCGGGGAGAGCAGATATAGTGAATGCAGGGTCCGGGGAGAGCAGATATAGTGAATGCAGGGTCCGGGGAGACCGGATATAGTGAATGCAGGGTCCGGGGAGACCAGATATAGTGACTGCGGGGTCCTGGGGTTAGTAACACTTTAAGCCAAAGACAGATTGAAATTTGGCCAGTTCAGCAGGGACTGGCCAAATTTTGATCCATGTGTGGCCATGCCTGTTTGATCAACTTAGAAAATGTTGTTGATCAGCAACTGCAGTTGCTGATCAGTGTATTCTGACAGTGACAAGTCTTGTCAAAATACAATGTCCTGGGAGGGGGGGGGGATGTAGTTCCAACATCCTCTTCATTTGTGTGGATGGAGGAATTTGTTCGTTACTACCCTTTGTATATGCCAATTATTGTGCTCCAACTATTTGCTGTAGAAAAAGCAGTTTAGCTTCAGAATATGAAAAGGGTTCTTTACAGTAAAAGCTGTGTAAATGTTTTGCAGTCTCACTGTTTGTCATCTGTAGATTGCTGCTACAGTCTCCCTACAAAAGCCTGTCCTCTTCCAGCATGCTGTAGAGAGACCCTTACTCTCTATGTTAAAACAGTGGTCTCTCTACACAGGTCCACCACCTCCTACACTGTCAGAGCAAGAGCTCTCCAATCACTAGGAAGCATGAGCTTTTCTGATTGGAGGGCTCTAACTGTCTGAACAAGGGGCGGGTAGGACCACGGAAGGGGGACCGCTGTTTCCTCATAGAGATCAATCTGTAGTGCTCTACCACAGTCTCATTACAAAAGCCTGTCCTCTTCCAGCATGCTGTAGAGAGAGACCCTTACTCTCTATGTGGAAACAGTGGTCTCTCTGCACAGGTCTACCACCCCCTACAAAGTCAGAGCAAGAGCTCTTCAATCACCAGGAGGCATGAGCTTTTCTGATTGGAGGGCTCTAACTCTGTCTGGACAAGGGGCGGGTAGGACCACGGAAGGGGGACCGCTGCTTCCTCATAGAGATCAATCTGTAGTGCTCTACCACAGTCTCACTACAAAAGCCTGTCCTCTTCCAGCATGCTGTAGAAAGATCCTTACTCTCTATGTGGAAACAGTGGTCTCTCTGCACAGGTCCACCACCCCCTACAAAGTCAGATCAAGAGCTCTTCAATCACCAGGAGGCATGAGCTTTTCTGATTGGAGGACTCTAGCTCTGTCTGAACAAGTGGCGGGTAGGACCACAGAAGGGGGACCGCTGCTTCCTCATAGAGATCAATCTGTAGTGCTCTACCACAGTCTCATTACAAAAGCCTGTCCTCTTCCAGCATGCTGTAGAGAGAGACCCTTACTCTCTATGTGGAAACAGTGGTCTCTCTGCACAGGTCCACCACTCCCTACAAGTTCAGAGCAAGAGCTCTTCAATCACCAGGAGGTATGAGCTTTTCTGATTGGAGGGCTCTAACTCTGGCTGAATAAGGGGCATGTAGGACCACTGCAGAGGGACTGCTGCTTCCTCATAGAGAGCAATGGTCCTTCTCTGTACATGCTCCAGGGGACAAGCGGTTCTGCTCAGACTGCCTGCTTTGTAAAGAAATGAAACTACGATTTTAGATGTTATGATGTACCTGGAATGTATGTAAGGGATTTAAAAGGAAAGTTCAGTTGGACTTTGTGTTTTTTGTATTTATTATTGCAACCCAGGTATGTAACTATTAGTGATGTGTTTCTTTTACAGTACGATATGCTGGGACAGAATGCTTCAGCAGTGAGGGCTGAGATGGTGCAATTAGCCAACTATCTTGACAGTGTAAGTAGAACAGTTTTAGAGGACTTTTGTATTCTTTTCTACTTGTGCCATGTTAATGAACCTGGTTTCTATGTATAATTTGTAATTATTTGTATACATGAGTGCAACCATATCGTTTACATATGCAGGCTCTCCTTCCTGATTTCAGCACTATGCTGTGATAATAGGGGCAATTTCACACTGATCTGTAGCAATTACATGGTAAAAACACATATGCGTTTTTGCCGCGATTTAACCGTGCCATATGATTCAAAATCTCAACACAGATGTGGTTTTGATGCGAGTTGTCAATGCATATCAATGGGGTGGTGCATTTTTTAACTGACCAAATATACCCCAAAAATGCAGCAAGCATTTTTTACACCACAACAGACCAGTGTGAAGACATGCATAAACATACATAGGGAAGCACTTTTCTTCAGCTTTTCTTGCGCTTTTTTTTTTTTTTACTGCAAAAGCGCTTTAAAAACTCTTCTGTGTAAAAAGCAGCCTAAATCTCTGCACACAAACAAATTCATTTAAAATATATTCCTTAAAAAACATATTCAATATAAATTCACATTCTATAGCCCAAATGTCCCTGTAAATCCAGATATTACCTTGTAAAAGTAAGGCTGGACATTGAACCAGGGAGTTGAAAACAAATATTATCTGATCCCTCATCCACACATTTTGATGTAGATGGAGGAATACTCCTACTGTGCTATTGTGTTCTGACAGCGGGGAGACTCCCTCCCCTCATCCTCCCCTTCCCCTTCCCCCCCCCCCACCCCTTATCCTCCCCCTTCCCCCCCCACCCCTTATCCTCCCCCTTCCCCCCCCACCCCTTATCCTCCCCCTTCCCCCCCCCACCCCTCATCCTCCCCCCGCCACCCCTCATCCTCCCCCCCCCCCCCCCCCCCTCATCCTCCCCCCCCCCCCCCCTCATCCCCCCCCCCCCCCCCCCCCCCCCTCATCCTCATCCCCTCTCCCCCCCTCATTCTCCCCCTTTCCCTGTCAGAATAGCTATAGCTGGCAGCACTGATCATATTGGAAAACCCCAACAGGCTGGTTATACACAAAAAGATTGACTTGTGTACAATCAGCCTGCCCATACATGGATCAAGATTCATCCAGTCCCTGCTGAAGCAGCTGAATTTTGATCTATGTATGGGTGCCCTAACAATATCATCACTGTACTGCACATACAGGCTGCCTGCAGAAAACTACAGCAAGGGAAAATAATATTACTTACCTTTAATGAAGGATGTCCCACGATCTGCAGGCTGCTGGCTTCTGTAGAAATCATCACTGCAGGGCAGCCCTGTCCTCTTCCTGCTGCCAAACTTCTGGTACTGTTGGAGTTTACAGCTTTGGGTTTATGGTCTCAGCTGCACTAAAAAGGTGATCCAATAGGGACACACCATGTCCTTCCCCTCCTTCATTGAGAAAAGTTATTTCATCATCTCTAGTGTAACTGAGCCTGGAGACCCAAAGCTGTTATCCTCCACAGTGCCAGAAGTTCAGCACCAGGAAGAGGACAGGGCAGCCCTGCAGTGAAGATTTCTACAGCATCCAGCAGCCTGCACATCATGGGACATCCTTCTTTTCATGTAAGTAAATAAACTAAGGCTGCTGAGAAAATATTTTTTTTTAAACTAAATTTCAGCTTTAAGAGAAAAGCTAAATCAGTTGCAGCAGTCATATGTAGTGGAGGTGTCAGATCTGATGAATCCTCGACCATGACATGTCTTGTCCCTCCTGGGTGATGACCAAGGTCTCTCCTTTGTTCTCTAGATGTACAGAGTGCTGAATATCAGAATTGTCCTGGTTGGGTTGGACATCTGGATGAGGGGGAATCACATCAGTATTGAAGGCTCGGCTGGAGATGTCCTGGGGCGTTTTGTGAACTGGCGTGAGAAGGAGCTCGTCCCGCTCCGCAGACATGACAGCGCTCAGTTTGTTCTGTAAGTAATATTTTATTTCTAGATCAGAAAAGCAAAAAAGGGTTTTCTTTATTCAGTGCCTGAAAATTTAAAATGGAATTTACACGGGCACTTCAAGAAGATAGCAAATAGTGGACTATAATTCAGTGATTAAGAGTGTTTAAAGTGCTGTGCCTGCACTGCAAGGGTTATTTGCTCTTTTGCCTGGGGGGGGGGGGGGGGGGGGGGGGGGGGGGGAGAAATTTACATGATCCTCTGCTAACCCTGTAGATAACCCCCCCTACCTTTCCAGCATGCCATGCTCTGGCAGTACACTGTCCCTCAGCGTCATCATGTCCAATGCAAGGCTATTGACCCTGCTCTGGCCTTGATGTCAGGATCCTAGAATGCTCGAGAGTGGAGGAGAAGAAGTTGTTTCCCTAGGCCTAGACCAAAACGATCAAAGTTGCCTGGGGTTAGGCTATAAACTGAACTCCAGCCAAACCGCTGAATACACAGGAGAAATCCATATATAGATGGAGGATTTATAGTCCTGTACAGCTAGCATTGTGATTTATACATCTTTCACACAGCCATGTCAGCATAAAAATATAAACTCCTCATATACTCTGACCAGCCACCTGAAAACATGGCAATATTTTTCTTTGCTGCTAAATAATAGATTAGGAGCCGTTCATTTTTTTTTTTTCTTTATACAAAGAATCAGCACATATGCTTCTGCCAAATGTACGCAGTGTGCATGTGAGCTCGTCATGTGTAAACCATGGATGTAATGTACCCACAATGCATATGAGAGCATCACATGTTAATAGAGAATGTAATGTGCACACATTGCATGTGAGAGCATCATGTGAAAACAGAGTATGCAATATACGCACAATGCATGTGTGCTCATCATATGTAAACAAAGGATGTACTGTACACACAATGTGTGTGTGCTCATCATGTATAAACAGAGGATGTAATGTACCCACAATGCATATGAAAGCATCATGTATGAACAGGATATAATGTACGCACAATGCATATATGCTCATCTTGTGTAAACCGAGGATGTAATGTACCCACAATACATCCTGTTTATACATGATGCTTTCATATGCATTGTGGGTGATTACATGCTCTGTTTACACATGATGAGTACACATGCTTTGTGTTTACAGTGCATCCTCTGTTTACACATGATGAGTACACATGCATTGTGTACAGTACATCCTCTGTTTACACATGATGCTTTTACATGCATAGTGTGTATATTACTTACTGTGTTTACACATGATGCTTTTACATGCATTGTGTATACATCACATTCTCTGTTTACACATGATGCTCTCATATGCATTGTGGGTACATTACTTACTCTGTTTACACAGGATGAGCACACATGCATTGTGCGTACAGTATATCCTGTTTATACATGATGCTTTCATATGCAATGTATGCACAATGCATGTTTGCTCATCCTGTGTAAACAGAGTAAGTAATTTACCCACAATGCATATGAGAGCATCATGTGTAAACAGAGAATGTGATGTATACACAATGCATGTAAAAGCATCATGTGTAAACAGAGGATGTACTGTACACAATGCATGTGTGCTCATCATGTGTAAACAGAGGATGTACTGTACACAATGCATGTGTGCTCATCATGTGTAAACAGAGGATATACTGTACACAATGCATGTGTGCTCATTATGTGTAAACAGAGGATGTACTAACGCGTTTCGCCCCTCTCACTGGGCATCCTCAGAGGCATCAAGAGAATGTAATATATGGACAATGTATGTGCGCTTATCATGTGTAAATAGTGGATGTAATATATGGACAATGTATGTGCGCTCATCATGTGTAAACAGAGGATGTAATATATGGACAATGTATGTGTGCTCATCATGTGTAAACAGTGGATGTAATATATGGACAATGTATGTGTGCTCATCATGTGTAAACAGTGGATGTAATATATGGACAATGTATGTGCGCTCATCATGTGTAAACAGTGGATGTAATATATGGACAATGTATGTGCGCTCATCATGTGTAAACAGAGGATGTAATATATGGACAATGTATGTGTGCTCATCATGTGTAAACAGAGGATGTAATATATGGACAATGTATGTGTGCTCATCATGTGTAAACAGTGGATGTAATATATGGACAATGTATGTGCGCTCATCATGTGTAAGCAGAATATGTAATGTATGCATATATTATATTTAGTATATGCATGATGCATGTGTGCTTTTGTCATGTGTGAACAGAGACCATAAGATACGCAATATGCGTGTGATCGCATTATGTATAAACCAAGGCCGTTCTGTACATACGTGCACTTCAGCGAGAAGTGTCCTCCATCAAACAGCATGCACACCTGTAGCCCTGACTTATTCCATTAGCCCCTTATTACCTGCGTCCACCAAAAAGACTGTATGTCAGTAATATGGACTATATCATGCGGCTCAGTTGAATTGAAGGAAAAGTTAAAGTGCCTCTAAAGTCAAAAACATTTATTATTTTCGCCATATGCGTCCAGCTGGAGCGATTCCCTTTATTGCTGTGTTTATATTTGTAAAAAAGTATGCAAGGCCATTACTGCTAACAAAGCCAATTTAGGACATTATAACATCGCCATCTACAGGTTCCATTAGGGTAGTGCAAGAAATACCGATGTGTAAGTTAGTATTGCTAAACAATCCCTGTTAAACTATATCCCAGTCCTGCTTAATGTTCCTCATGAAATTATGTCCGAATTTTGTAAAGTAAAAAATAAACTTTTTTCCTGTTTTGTTTGTATCTCCTCTGCACGCTCCCCCCATGCACCTGTGTTATTTCTGTTTCTGGAAGAAGAGTATGATCAATGTATGTGTATTGCTGTCATTTGCACCTCTCTATTAAAACTAAAATTCCCAGTATGCATGAGCTGTGCAGTGTGGGTGATGAGATTATGAACGGGAGTGATGACTGTCATATTCATTAGAATGGGCGTGTTTGTTTCTTCTTTTATGTGCCAGGGCTGGTTGCCTGAGCTTGTCAAGAACAAGCTGAGGTGGGTATGAATAGCTATGAAAGCACTGAATATTTTTGTGTGTGTGTGTATATATGTGTGTGTATATATATATGTGTGTGTGTGTGTGTGTGTGTGTGTGTATATATGTGTGTATATATATATATGTGTGTATATATGTGTGTGTGTGTGTATATATGTATGTGTGTACATATGTATGTGTGTACATAGATATACATGCACACACTCCTGTACCTGTGGAATCCATATACCCTGCATTTTACTACATGTGAACACTGCAATGACTGACCTCATATGTCAATTGAACAATGTCATGCAGTGAGAAGACTGAGTGGTTGGTCATGGGAGGGCAATCAGTATGAATGAAGATGTGGTTGGGCATAGGCAGCTTTGGGGGGGAAAGGGAATGGGGGCAGGAAGTTCTTTTTATTTTTTTTGTTTGCTTTTTTGCAGAACTTCCCTGTATTTTCCTGGAGCAGTAAAATTCTTATTAACATGTTTTGTTGTAGGAAGAAGGGATTTGGAGGCACTGCTGGCATGGCTTTTGTAGGCACCGTGTGTTCCAGGAGCCACGCTGGTGGCATTAATGTGGTATGTCCTATGTGTTTTAGTATTATAAAAATGTCCCTTTGGTTGTTAAAGTATATTACTATAGAGATGGGTAAGAACTGTGGGCACACTATGAACATTTAGATTAGATAATAACATATTGTTAGTCAAAAGTAATTTAAAGCTGAGCTCCATCACTACATTCCAGGTGATCTAGTTCTAGATGGACTCTGTGGGTTGTTTCAAAAGATGCTGAATGTGTTTCTATATGCGCACAATATACAGTAAATGGCTATTCATAATATTTTTATAATAATATAAGTTAAGCCATCCAAAGACGGTTCGAATCTCGGCTGGTTCAGCAGGGTTTTGAACCTTGTATGGGCAGGCTGAATGATCAACTAGGGAACAACCAGTCAATCAATCAATTGATCAACTTGGGTGCAAGCAGTCTGTCGGATTTTAGATGCGATTATTGCTAGAGGCTGTTACGGCCACTAGCCGTAATCCCTGTGTTCTCCCTGTAGTGACAGCTCCTCCCCCATATACCGGAAGAACACAATGGCTCCATGTGATGGATTCCCCCATTAACACTGGCTATATTGATGGGCAAAATTGCTCCATCTATGGCCAACTGTAGTAACGTTGCAGAGTATTGATCCAGGTAGTTTCCTGTAAAGAGATTCTTTTGCCCTGTGTTTGTGTAGATTGGGTCACGCTTTACAAAAGATTTTTTGTCTTTTTCTGGATCACCTGCAGTTTTTTTTTTGTTTTGTTTTGTTTTTTCAGCTAAATATGTGAGCTACAAACTGACACTTTTGTTAATTAAAAATGTTTGTGTAGAATGATGAATTTATCTCCATTTTGTATTGTTTTACAGTTTCCACATCAGAATGTACAATCTTTTTCTTCTATTGTTGCTCATGAACTGGGACACAACCTGGGAATGAATCATGATGACGATCGAGGCTGTTCCTGTCCTGTACCATCGGGCTGTATCATGAACTCTGGGGCCACGTAAGGGTTCAATTTCTTCATGATATCCTATTAGAGCTTAGCTCTCTGCACCAAATAAAATTACTTTTAGAACTGAAATCCAGGCAAACCATACAACAAGTACAGCAAGGTTGGTGACCTCACTTGTCTTTACTGCAATTAAGCAATACAGCTAGGTTACTGCCCCATCCCCAACCTGTGATTGGACTGTGAAGGAGCAGCAGAAGTCTTATAACTATTTCCTGTCCGGCCCATGTACATAAATGGCTGGATGGGAGCAAAGCAGGAGCGGGTTGCCGTTCAGAAACGTACTCCCGCATTTCCTGCCTGTGCGCGCTCCCTGGGAGCACGGCGCACCGTGATCCAATCGATGTACGGGACCTCTGTGTGAGGTCCCGATCATGTGATCACTGATTGGCCAATCAGTGATCACATGCATAGTAGTAAGCAAGATGTCACTTCCTGACATCATTGCTTGCTACTTGTGAAATCTGTGAATGATCACAGAAATCTCATGGTACAAGGCTATTCACAACAGCCTTGTACCATGTGACAAGCTGTGATCAATCACAGCTCACACAGTATTTCTCAATGGCTGAAAGAATGCAGTCAAAGAGGATAAAGTATTGCTTTTACAGCCTTCAGTGTAAAAAAAAAAAAAAAATCATCACCCCCCACAAGTAGTACAGTGTCACTATGGTGACGCTGTACTCCTAGGGTGACGTTATGTTAAAAAAAAAAAAATAACATAATATAAAAAAATAAAATAAAAATGCAAATCACATTTTTGAAAAATTATATAATTTGGTTATACTCTAATATGGGTTTTTTTTTGTTTACTAAAAAGATCGCTGAATACATTTTGGCCAAGATTTATGAAGAAAGATTATTTATTTGCAAAATTTTATAAGAAAAACACTTTTTATTTTTCAAAATGTTTGTCTTGGTGAGTTTTCAATACAGTTGTTCAACCTTTATGGTTCTGCAGGGGCTCCAAGAATTTCAGCAGTTGCAGTGAAGATGATTTTGAGAAGCTGACTCTGAACAAAGGTGGAGGCTGCCTCTTGAATGTGCCCAGCCCAGACGAGTCATACAGCGCGCCTTCCTGTGGGAACAAGCTGGTGGACCCTGGGGAGGAGTGTGACTGTGGGAATGAAAAGGTCAGACAAAATAGAAGCATGGAATCCTTTTCATAAATGATAGATGACCCAAATATTACTTCAATCATCAATATAACTTGTTATAAATACTCTGTCAGGAATGTGAGAAGGATCCATGCTGCCAGCCTGGGACCTGCAAGCTGCGCTCAGGAGCTCAGTGTGCCTACGGATCCTGCTGCCAAAACTGCCGGGTAAGTACTTTAGAAGTATCTTAAATGCTTGTGTATGTGTAGCTTATGAACGATTGTGGCTGTGCACTGGGCAGTGCCCTCTGCTCTGTTCAGCTGACAATAGCAGGAGAAGCCACCCCATGTAAGATATTCAAGTTTCTCAAGTCTTAACCTTACCAGGACTATTAATTCTTTGCTTGTGACATCGCTGGTGCTTGGTAACTGTGCTGTCACATGGAGTGAGTCACATGCTCACCCATACCTGGAAGTACTAAGCACTTTCTTTGGTCCAGAAAACACTATTTTGGGGAAGTTAATAAAAGGTGAGCATATTCTGCTTGGGAGGATTATATTGGCAAAGTGTAGGTCTACACAAGGGGAAGCATAATTGATTTTGGTGCATTTTTTATTCTTCCTGTAAAATAGTGATTTTCTATTTAAGCATTTTTAATAGGGTGCATTCAGAACAGTTTGCAAAGTATGCAGCAGGGCCGGATCTAGCCCATCTATTCTGGAGATGCAGTGAAAAAAAAAAAAAAAGTCAGGGGGCATGATGTCAACACTGAGTGTGAGTCACTGACAGTCTATCACACAGTGTCACGACCTGGGAAACACCAGTATGTATTAGGCTGTCCTTAGCTTAGGATGATTAAACGGAAACTGTGCTCCTTTATATCTAAAAGAAAAATGTCACCAGCACACCAAGGAATCCTCAAAAGGGCCCGAAGCTTTATTTAGTGGTCACATAATATCAACAGCGGCACCGTTTTGGAGCCACGCAGGGCCCCTTCGTCAAGCATTTGCCTGGCGAAGGGGCCCTGCGTTTCTCCGAAATGTTACCGCTGTTGATATTATGTGACCAGTAAATAAAGCTTCAGACCCTTTTGAGGATTCCTTGGTGTGCTAGTGACATTTTTCTTTCTGGATTGTTTGCAGTTCCCAGCCCATGGTTACTACAGACCCAAACACCATTTATAGCCACTTGCAGGAATGTGTGCTTTGGGAAAACTACATTTTGACATTTATATCAGAAGTCCCTATGAGAGTCCCCCTTTATATCAGGAGTCCTCATCAGAGTCCCCTATTATATGGGGTCCTTATCACAGAGCCCTTTTACATCACGGTCCCCATCAGAGTGTCCCCTTACATCAGGTGTCACCATCAGAGTTCCCCCTTACATCACTTGTCCCCAACAGAGTGCCCCCTTACATATGATCAGTTATCCCCATCAGAGTGCCCCCTTACATCAGGTGTCCCCATCAAAGTGTCCACTTACATGGATTGTCCCCATCAGTGTGCCTCCTTACATCAACAGTTTGCATCAGATTGGCTCATGGATCAGTGTATGCACTTTCAGAGACCTTGGGGGCACAGCTAAAATCTGAGGAACAGTCATCCCAGCACCCCCCTATATCCAACCCTGGTTTGCAGGCTTTTCTCGTAAGAAATGCCAGCACTGCAATGTAGATGCCCTGTGTTGAGCTGAATAGGATGGGTCCCACTTGATTTGGCTCTGCTAAGAGAAAGGAAGATGATCGTTCTGTGTCATCTTATCTCCTCACCTCTTGAATGCTGTTATTTTGGTTTGTGCTCACCATTTCCTCGCTGTGACTGATAAATATGAGTTATTCATAATTCATATTTACCTGAGTATAAACATTTTGTGTGATATTTTATACAATACAGAGACATCATATGGTACAGAACTTGAAAGAAACACACGCATGTTCGATGATGAAGCATTTGGGCACCCATTGTCATGCTGCTTTGTTTTTTGCCTTGAAGTTCTTTATTTTATTACTATGGATGAAGATTAGCAAAATAAAAATAGTAGAAACATTTATACCAAAGAAACATTGATGTGTATGCGGGTTAATATGACTTTTCTTTCTTGTTATGCCTTTTAATAATATTTTACTGTTTTTAATCCTTTATCTGAGCTGATCATTGTTTTTTATGTGTCACTCTGTAGTTCGCTCCAGGTGGTACCGTGTGCCGTGCTGTGGCCAATGAATGTGATCTTCCGGAATACTGCAACGGCTCTTCTCCATTCTGCCAGGCTGACGTATTCATTCAGAATGGAAACTTGTGTCAGAATGGCCAAGCCTACTGCTACAATGGCATATGCCAGTACTATGATGCCCAGTGCCAAGGAATTTTTGGACTCAGTAAGCTAATCTGCTTGTCAGACTTTAGGTCCCATATACAGTACTACCTCTTGTTTGTGTCCAGCTTGTACACACAGTTTGTTTCTCTCACCGCAGAAAGCACTTTAGGATAGTATAAGTATGGAATTGTTGTAGACCCAAACCGTGTCGGTGAATGTTGGGCTTTGTGTACATGGGCACTGCACAACAAGTCTTACTTAGAAAGAATGCAGATTGCAGCTTCTGACAACATTTAAAGTCCAACTCTAGGAAAAATAAAAATGCCACCTTGCAATGGAGCTGTGCCTGAACTGCAAGGGTTAAGTACTTGATCTTGCTTAGGTCTAAGGGAAGCAATTCTATTTGTCTGAGCCTCCAATTCTGCAGCAGCCGGAACTTTTCCTCTACACTCGAGTAGTGGGCTGTTCCTCACTGTCCCCTGGACCCTGCATTGGTCTTGATGGTGTCAGAGGACCAATCTCTCCTGTGTCTTTGGCTGCAAAGACACAGGAGAGATTAGGCTGTGGGGCCCAGTCTTACAGCACTGCAGGAGTAGATGAGCAGGTAAGTAAAATTTCTTTCCTTATTCCCATAGACCTATATAAGCATTTAACCCTTGCAATGCAGGAAATGGATTTTTCAAACCCTGGACAACGCTTCTGGGCCAAAGTATATTGAGGGCAACAATAGGCAGGACCTATTATTTTTGCCTCTGTTGATAGGACATGTTAGGATTTTGCTGAGCTTTTAAAGGCTTATTTATTTGTTTTATTACTTTTCTATTACTTACAGAGGCAAAGGCAGCTGCTCCCATTTGTTTCCGAGAGGTTAACTCCAAAGGGGACCGATTTGGGAACTGTGGTTTGCACGGCAATGTGTACAAGTCATGTGATGCCAGGCAAGTACCCATAATCAGAGCTGACCTTTGTTGCTTCAGAGACTAATATGGCCTGTAAATTGCAACTGGTTGTGGAATGAATGAATTGGCACTGAGCATATATCAGTTTCCGGAGTGGCAATGTTGAAGTGGAACATTTTCCAAATTTTTGGAGATCCAGCAATAAATCCAGGCGGACCAATACTGTTTGCCCGACAGGTTTTTACGCAGATATGATCAGATCCTCCATTATCCTCTACGGAGCAGCAGATGTACATGGACTTGTGTCTGTTTACACCCTCCTACATCTGATCCAATCCTGTCCGCTAAAAACAGATGGATGGGGATCCATTGCCCAGCCATCTAGCTGATCGGATGGCAGTCAGATGTAAACAAACAGGCAGTCAGTTGACATCTGACCACCCAAAAGAAGACAGCAGGCTGTGGCTGTGCCTGCTCTGCTCAAGCTGAGCAGACACGGACCAGCCAACTGCTTGCTCAGCGGGGATAAACGGGCAGATCTCCCACTGAGCAAGCAGACTCCTGGCGGAGTCTTCCCCGTGTGGGAAGGGCCTCAAGTACAAGTGCAGCTTTATACAGTAATCCCCCCAGCCGCCTTCCTTAGCTCCCCCTTTCCTTAGCCTACTTCCCCCTCCAATGTCCCACAGGTCCATTATCGCCTACTCCAACAGCTTTTTCCTATAAAAAATATAGTTCTGGCCTGCCTGCACTTGATCGTCCCACAGACATTAACTGTGTATACACTATTTGTGTTTGAAATTCTTCATGTAAAGAACATTTGTTTGATTTTCTAATCTTTAGTGGGGTCAAATCGATGTTAGTTTTCAACCACAATGGTTAGAAAATTTGAAGAAGCAGAATGGGAAATTTTTTTGTAACACATTTCTGGCAATATATGTGGTTTTAATTTAGTAAGGCCCATTTATTCTAAAGTTAAATCTTAAAGCAAAACAAAACTACTTTCGAACAACATTCATGTCATCAAATGTACTGAGAATTTCCGTATGACTGTTTGAAAATCTACTAGTGTATAATCAGTTTTAAAAGGGACATTGGTCCCACGCTATGGGTACATGCCATTCAAGTCTATGGGAGGTTAGGAGCAATAGGATTTTATTTGCTGGCAGCAAGTAGTGCAAGAGGCTGCAGCCATCAGAGGAGGCAAGTATGGATCTGCCGGTGTGACCATTTTAAGCACCCCTGTAAGTTTTTAATGCTTACTTCCAACTCCTTTTGATGAAACGTTTGCTGGACTGTTAAAGGAAGTGAAAAAGTAATGGATCTACTGGCAGGATGAACAAGTAATAAAGTTCTGCTAAGGGTGTCGCTCAGAAAAAAAAAACTGCTGTGCCAATGTTGTGACAGACAGCATCATTTAAGTCATTTATTTTTTTTCTATACGTAATTTTGCTTTAATGCTTTGACATCAATAAATGTCTGTAGTGAAGGGTGCTGTCTTACTCTATGCTGTTTCTCTTTTTACTAACCTGTACTAAAGGAATGCTATGTGTGGGAAGCTGCAGTGTGAGAATGTGGACTCCATGCCTGTCTTTGGCATTGAACCATCAATAATCAAGTCTACCATCCAGGGCACCGTATGCTGGGGAGTGGATTTCCAACTGGGCACTGATGTTCCAGATCCTGCTATGGCCAATGAGGGCACCAAGTGTGACAATGGCAAAGTAAGTAGTAGACTGTCATCTGCTCACTACATGTTATTGAAAGTACCTGCTGAATTCTGTTTTCAAATCTATAGATTATGAACACTTTGTTTATTGCTAAGTATGTCAGTTGCATGCCTCCCAAGGTTACTTGTGACCTGAACAGTGGTACTGCTCTTTTCTGATGGGATCTCTGTATATCTATAAGTGCCATTCTGCTTTTATCAATTTTAAGCCGTCATTGGGTACCTTCAGATATGGTTCTCTAATCTTTGTTTTTGTTTTACTTTTTTTTTTTACAGATTTGCCAGAATTTCCAGTGTGTCAATGTGTCAGTAC